ACGAGTGGAAGCCAAATATTTGCGTTTTCTATATACCTATATTTACCCGCGATTTTGATGAACAGTAAAATTCGAAATGTTTATTCGTTCTTTGAAGCAATTGACAATTTTTATCACTTTACATGATTTAATTATATTTATGAAACTTAATTTTATTTGTGTAGATAGTTGATAATTTTACCGAGCAGTTTCGGTGATTCTTACTAGTCTTTAATATTATTGACAGAGTATGTTGACACTGTATTATCTGAAAATAGTACTGATTACTTTGATGATCCAATTAAACCACCGTTGTTATCAAAATGTTACAAATATTTTCGTTTCAATTGTCATTATTTTAGAATGGAACTCAAGAGAATTCAAGAATAATATATTTATTTAAGTTTTCTTTGCTTGTCATTCTATTCTTAGCGAGTTTCATCAGTCATCTTTTCTTATATTTTTATTATGTCTTTTAATAATAAATAAGATTTTGTTTGAACAAATAATAAATTTGTTTTGAATACATAACTATTTGCTCTTTTTTCTAATTGGCGCGGAGAAACAATCTTATGTCTTATAATTTAAAAGCTTATAATGTATTAGCTGATATATATTTGCTTCGAAAATAATTTATTCAATATTATCTAAAAATATATATAGCCAAAAGAGAGGTGTAAACTAGTGACTATTTATTGTGAGTTAAATTATAGCCTGCACAATTATGTACATACATGAGTAAACTTAACATGCGTCAAAAATAGGTATAGAGATTTTTTGCCTAATATAACAATAATATATAATATGCACATTTTAACAGTATTTTTGCACAGACTCATAAGACTTTCATCCCCATATGGGGGATTCGCACCCGGATGTGATTATTGCGCCCTACTGTCCGAGGAAAAGTTCGTCACAGCGGTCACGACTAAGGTCGTTCCGCAATGTGCTTAATGTACTATTAAACGCAGCCATTGTGTCGGCGGCCGTCCATCGCGCTCACAAATTTTCCTTCCGCCGCACCCCCGTTCATTCTGTAGGTCCGTTCTTATACAGCCTTAAAAGGACGAAGACAGAGAAGACGAGCACGTGCCACCCTCATTTCAACGAAAGAGATATACCAAGACCCCTCCTTTTCTCCCGCCCCGTATTCACTAAACCTCCGGTCATCGGTCCGCGTTTTCGAATTTCCATTCACGGGGGAATGGGGAAAAAATCGTATATCTCGCGGGACAGAGGCGGCATTCATATGCTAAGACGTTTGGCCGAAATCCCCGGACAATCCTTGTAGAACGAATTTTTCAACACGGAATTCGCGCAATTTTATTTTATTTTTTGTAAACTAAAATTTTCTCTATTTCTTTTACTTATTAAAGCTTATTTATGGACTTATTTCTTATATTTATCAATATCAAGTGCCGGTTGTAATATATCTTTAATCAAGCAAATAAAAATTATGAAAATAGCTGTGTAAAATAATCATATTGCTATATAACTAAAAAATTAATTTGAGTCACATCTAAATTAATTTTGAAATTTTCTAATATAATTCTCGTCTCAGATTTCCTTTTATAAATGTGTTTACAAATACTTGTACCTATTGATAAAATGGAAATCGCTGATAAGCGGAAAGCGAGCGAGAAATAAAAGTTATTAAGAAAACAGCCGGGAAGAATATAACTGTAAAATAAAGAATGATGATTCATTCAATGAAATCGAAAAGTGTGTACTGTATGAACGGAGTATTCTGTTAACTATATAAACATTGACAAATTTGTGATTTCCTAAAAAACTTGACACATTCCACAACGGAAAAACCACCAAGGAATCCTGATGTATAAGCTGCAACATAGCAATAGCTGAAGGTTCAATGTGTTGCAATTTTTATCTTGCCATAAGTTATTGAATCTTGCAAATTTCTCGGAGTCGTTGAGCGAACAATCTCTGAATAGAGGCAAAGCGGAGAACGCTAATGTAGCATTGCAAATGCTGCAATTACCGAGTTGATGATGAATCGACTTTCATGAGCGGGAAAAGATAAACATTGCTGAAGGAAATAAAGATTTGCACACGGAGGTTTGTTTAACGTCCGCTGAACGTATTATCATTAACTGTTTGGTATAACAAGCTTTTCACTGTATTACTATAACAATATTAATTTTCTGGTAATCTCTAGCTAATCTACATATTTAAGCCTAATTATACAAAAAGTAATTTTCAACAATTTTTCAGTTTGCTTGATTGATAACCTGCTTGCTTGATTGTTCTATATCAAAACCAACAATGAAATTTTTAATTTTATAACGTATTTTATAAAATAACTACTTAAATTTATTTGCATAATTTAGATTTCGTTCTTTCTGTGCGCGATCGCAACAGAGTCGCAGTGCGTACGATCGACAGCCTTCGATTCACATCAAGATTCGCGTTATCGATTCAAGACGCGAATACACGGTTCCCTCTCGTTCGTCTATAAATTAGTAATCTCGGCTCAGCGTTGCGAATATCAATTTAGTGGCGAGCGACGCGCGATAAAACTGAAATAAGGGAGCCGGACGGTCCAGGACGGCGCAGCGCATCGAGGAGAGAGTGCATACCTCTTGCCACCGTTACTGGCAGTTTCCTGCGATAACCCCAGCGTTATACTCGTCGTCCCCGGCGCGGCGAACGGGACGGGGGGGATTCACAATGGTCCACAATGACTGGGCCAACATTACGAATTAGGCTCGGTTACGCGTTTATTGCCGATTCCGGTCCGGGCCAGCGGCGTCGGTGCGTCCTTCCCCGCCGACGACGCGCGACGTCGAGGCGAATCGACGACCGGGCGTCGCGCCGCCCGGCACCGACGCCACTGCCGAGACGAGAAGTATTAGCATTGGTTAGCTTTATGGGGCGTTCAGTTCCGCCGTTCTCTCTCGGTTCTGACTCCGCGGCCCTCACTCATTCGCGAGAGCGAGACGGAGGAAGGGAGAATGAGGCAGAGAGCCGCCACGGTGCACAGATCAATAAAATCTGTCTGTCTAGAAAAGTAATGCCAAATCGACTCTCCGCTCTCCCGGCACGTATAAATGCCACAAAGGAAGCGGAACAACGAGCGATGGTTTAAATTTCGTCGATAAGGCGCCGATTTCAATGTGGAATTTTCTGCCGTCCAATTCCAAAAATGGATTGTCTCATTTGAAAAAAATATTTTATCTAGGAATAGAGAATATGAAAGGATTAAATGTTTATTCCGAGAAAAATCTTCTTAAACAAAAATATGATTAATTATTGAAAACAGTACAATAATAGCATTGAGGGTGCCTAAACAATCACCAGAAAATTAATCACCGTCGGATTTAGATAACGAACGAATATTGTGGAACACTGTGATCCTTATCCGGTGCGTGTGTTTTTGCAGGATTATTGATACTCTTTTTTCATCTATTTCTCCTTCTCTTTCTCTCTCGTCGCTTTTTCGTTGTGGTGACTGGCGAGAGTCCGAGAGAGGGTGGAAATTGGGGCGCGGTAATTATTAATCAATTTCCGTATTAATTGTTTTCTGGGCGGCGGGCTTAAGTGGTATGTTGTGTTCTGGTTCTTGGCAAGCTCTGCCCCGTAACCAGCTAAAGTGTCATGCGAGAAGATTAATTACGTCGCGGCTACGTTTTATGTGTGTCATACGAGCGGGTACACTCTTCTTCGGCCGCTCGATACGACTCGAAGTAGGCGAGGTCACGTAAAATCTGCTTGGAAGAAAACACCACCAGAAGGACGGTGAAGCCTTGAGGTGTAGAAATATGATTGGTCAGAAAGATTGTGGAATGGTAATTCTCCGGATCAGTATTTATACCACTTATGATTAATAAGCAATATGTAATACAAATATTAATAATCCACTAGGTTCTTATAATTGAATTTAATAGGTACATCTTCTAGGAGAGCATGTTCAATCCCATTTACGCATTTAGTGTCGCTAATTATGAATAAGCATTTTGCGCAATATCAGAACAAATAATTGGTATTTTTACTGGTAATTATATTGTATAATGCCGTATATTCCTTTGAACGAGAAGATGCTGGCTGATTACGATTTAAAATAGAGATAAAGAGTTGCGATACTTTCAGCAACTAAGCATGAATCTCGTAAGATGAAGATCTCATTAAGCTTTCTTCGGAAGGCAAACGTTTCTTCAAACAGACGTGACTCGTTGGTGGTACTCAACAACCGTCCGGGCTCCCTTCGTTACGCGGGGGATGAATAAAAAAAAGGGGTACATAAAAATAAAAGAGATCCACGGGAATGAGATTTCGCCGGTACTCCCGTTCCCGAGCCACGAAAAAGCCAAGTTAGTTTTATTTTACAATCCATCGGCTGCCGCGACACGCAGGGGTGGGCCCCGGTCCTTCATCGGGAGCGCGAGTCGAGGAGCAAGAGGGAAAGAGAGATCGAAAAGAGAAACGGGAAGGGAGAGGGAGGGAGACAGAGAAAGAGAGACGGAGGAATCCTTCAGGACGGTTGGACGGGCGCGGGCGTCGCGACGGGGGTGGAACGGCTGTCAACTAGTGTTTTAAAAGTTTGCGACAGCCTACAAATTGACTCGCTCAGTTCTTTTTAAAAGCAGCGGCAACCAACCACGTCGCGCAACCCGCTTTCTGTCTGTCCCCGGCGCCAGGACCGTGTCGACGACTGAAAAATCCAGTCCTTCTCACGGGGACAAGGAATTTTACAAAATATCGAACAAATCGTTTAACAAGAACATTTGTTTTTTTTTTTCTTACTTCTTATCGAATACATTACTTGCTTCAGCGTTACTTCCTTTAGCAACAGAAAATTAATTTTATATATATTTGATAAGTTTTATTAGTAAAAAATTTGTTTCTATAGATTCCTAGAAATAAAATTACAAATTACTAATTATAAGAAGAAGAATTTTCTCAACATTTCATGATTAAATATAATAGTGAATGCTAACAAAATCATTTCTCACTTGTATATAAGTTTCAGTGGAAATTAATCAAAAGATTAAATATTTATCTGTTTCTAGAGATGGAAATAAAAAGAGCAACTTATCAAACGAAATTTTAAATCATGTTACATTTACTTTTAAAATAACAAAATATTGAATAAAATAAAAGATTGCCTTTCTCATATATAATAATTTGTATGTATAATAACATATAGATGTTATATGTGCTATCATTAGAGTATACTCCTTGCAAACATAGATATGTTATACGAAATCGATACGACAAAACATCCCCAATAAATTGTATCAAGAGCTTTTCTCTATCATGTATTGTACACTTGATTACCATTCTCAAGAGTATTGCGAAAAGTTGTGGCCATTCTCGGACAAATCGACCTCTATCCGAAGAGACGGTCGATCCCGTATAGCGAATATGCTTGCGTGCGATTCGAATCCAGGAAGTTTAAAAGTATTTCGACGTAAAACGCGGCCATTTCTCATATTTTCTATGCAAGCACGCTCCGCCGGGGGCGCATTTGATACACTCTATTAGTCGCATCTCCCGACTGATTTATGAAGTTACTCTCCGCATTATTATACATTTTCCCCGTTTCGAAACCGGGATTTACCGTAGCGAAGTTTAGTGGCTCGCGTATATTCCATTAGGCAAGGAAGATCAATGGATATTCCGCCGACTTAACATCTAAATTCTTTGAAATGCCATATAGCTCACGAATAAATGTATTGAGATCAGTAATCTCGGCTGGATAATCAAATATTTTTGGAACAGAAATTTCTGCACGTCTTATTTGAAATTTATATTGTTTCGGACATTTAATTAAACTTAAATTTAATTTTATTTAATGGGTCGTTACTAAAATTTTGTTTTATCAATTTTTCGTGCGCGCGCGTTACAACAAACTTCGTACTATACTAATAAGATCAAATATGTTATGCAATAATAAATTGCCAAATTAAATGTGTAAAAATTATATTAATTAAATAACGTAATCTTATAAAATAGAAAAATTTTCATCGCTCAGTTTTTAAACGTGTGAAAGATGTTTATAAGTAGATATTTATTTATATATAACACTATAACGCGTAAGTTAAGTCTTAAGTTATGATGGCAAATAACGTCCACGAAGTATGAAGAAAGAAACCTCTCAGTCTTCCTCTCACATTGTTCTGTAAATATCCCCCTCAATCCTGCACGTTCTATATAGCAACAGTTCGCCTTAAGCGGCAAGTCTATCAGGATTGTTTCAGCATTATCCATGATTCTTCATGGAATTTCTGCTATTTAGGTAGGATCGTTGGCGGTCGCGGTGATTCGAACATCGAAAAATTTTGTGAGAGGAAGGACGGTGACTTCGAACCGCTACTAGGTGTCGATACAAATTCCAACACGCTCGATTCGATACTCGCAATTCGGTTCTGCTCGTCATACCATTGGTTTCGAGCTGCTTCCACGACCTTCCAGAAATACACGCTCAAAACTGTAATTATTGTCAAATGTAATTATTGTATATAGAATGTGCCACACACATATTTTTGGTTTTAATTTATTTTTCAATTACATTTATGGAAATTACAATTTATTTTTACGAAAGACTTAGTAACGGATCATTATACGTTATAACTTTTAAATTGATAACGCTAAATACTCCTTTTATTAAACACTTCCGATACTTTTAGAATAAAGTTACTTTGATATTGATCGTAAAAAACATATCATTTTAATTTATTTAAAATAATTAAAAATAATTTTCCATCAAACTTTTATCTTAAAAACATTAGATTAACTGTGATTTGTTCGCGTTTAATTGCAATAGAATTCGCAAAGGTAATTCAATTCATATTTGTATTCAGAATTCAGTGATTAGAATGCATTTTATTTACGTTGAATCGCAAAAGAAGATTAGAAATATACTTACTCAGATAGATGCTGCATATCGTAATGTACCACAAATAAAAAGTAGTCTGCCGGTCGTGTATTATATGGCCACACAGCGCCACGGTCTGATCTATTACGCTAATCGTTTGCAAATACATCCAAGGCACGGCGCTCATATGTCTCCTCTGTGAACGTACGCGGAAGTTAACGCGGTCGTTAGCGAGTTGAGACAAGGCTGTTACGTGCCTAAAATACATCTCGCGGATTTATAAAGAACGCCTGACGAATTTGTATTCGATCGGCGGTGTCTCTGCCGCGACCTTTAAAAAAAATAATAGAAATCGTGCTTGCGAGCAGAGTGTTGTATATAAGAATTCTTTACATTGCTGCTAGATATTTTGAGAAAAAAGAAATTAGAAGGCTCGCGCAAAATTTCTCGCAATATACTTATCGAAACTTAATAATTTACAGGTGTAAATAAATTCGAAATTAATTTAGTAAAAAGATGAAAAATAAAATATATGGCAAAGTTATCTGACTAGATCAATTGAAATAGACTAACTATTCTCAATAATTCTCTTTTATTCGATCGCTTATTTATCCGTTAAATAGCTCTGGTATGCGGTGTGTTAACTTAAGGTCGATTAAGTTATTTAGAAGTAATTACACAATATTTTAAGACGCTCACCGATATCGATCCCAAAGCGAGGTATGCACTGGCCAACAGAAACGAGACGGCGTATATGAGGAAACATATCAAAGCGGCTTGTGCTGAAATGTACCACGTTACGTTATACCATTCGTTTGCGGAAGCAATTTGCGTATCTAACAATAAGTGTGAATCGGGCCTCACCTTTTTTCTGCAATTGCGTATATCTCATTGCTTGCATCCAATTCACTCCTAGCATGGCCCAAGTCTTGACGGATTCAAAAAAATCATCATCCTCGTCTCTTGAGAAGAAATTGCTCACCAACACGTTTATTAGTAGAACCGAAGTGGACTGAAAAGGAATAAACAAAAAGCTGAATGATTTAGGGAAGTAAATATAAAAATAAATTAATATAGTTGACAGATTGATATAAATTTTCAAAATTATGTGTTTTTAAACGGCTTTGTTCAAAAATATTTAAATTACTATTTATAAATTACTCTTATACTATATTTCGCTTTTATTTTTCAATAAAATAGTTGATTTAATATCAATCGAAGTATGTCTAAAACAAAAATAATACAAGAAGCAGTATATCTTAAAATAATAATGTTATATTTATACTCCAAACTTAAAATGACGTAGAAAGTAGCCGTGATCAATTGATTTGAGTCGGTATTCAACAACGTCACTCGAGTTATTGACAGTCTCGGCACCGGAAATATTGTGTGCGTGCTCATACCAAAAGAAGATCACAAGGCAGATTTTATATATTCCACGTTGGCAACATATATATATGTGCCAATCATTATAAACATAAATAGAGTTCATGTTTTCCGTTATCTCGTTTCGACATCTCATTTTTTCGGCACGATTTTACATTCGATATTATAATGCAATCGCAATACGCGAATCAGACAGCGCCCGCGTACTCCGAATGCATGAAAAGAATACAGAGTAGCACGCGTGAAATTTTAAACTTACCATCGTATACGCCCCAATTATCTTCGCCGCGAACGACACACCGATGCAACATACTACGCAACTTATACGACTCTCCATGATCGAAATAAACTTTTCGTCTGATCGCTCTGCCTCACGGACACAAAATGCCCGATTCCACCGGTGCGGCGTCACCTTTCGTGTTACCTTGCCAGGTAACACTCGCACGATACGTTGTAAAAAGTGTAAACACACATGGACGGAGGTAAACACACGTTAAAAGCGACAATCTTTGAAATTAATCTCGCGCACCGTTGGCGCGTTGTATCGCACGAGCGAGACTCCCGGTAACAATTGCCGAACGTGTTAACGAATAATTAACACCGTTCCGTCCGTCGAATAATGTGACGATTGTCGGACAGGAGTCTTGACTTCAACAGGCGCCTGCACGCCGAACAGAATCGTTCCGTATTGTTCGACTGTCGCGACGACAATGTTGCCTTAGCTGGTCCAAACTCCGAAAAGACGCGCTAATGATACACCGTTGTAATCATGATAATCAAACACGTCAGCGTTTTATCGCGTTATTTCTCAATAGGTCGTTTCAACTTATCACGAGGAAGTCATATTTATTAAAATATATTTGACCCAATATCTAAATGCAGGTCCTGATTGCACGTGTGTGTTCTATACGCACGTGCACGCACTAATTTTCAGTTGTAACTAAATCTTGACTAATCGTTTTAATTACATTATAAAAATTGTATGAATGTAGAGAAATAATGTTATAATTCTTGCGTGGTTTTTATTCCCAGAACATAAATTTAAGATCGAGTGATATATATGTATAATTAATTTAATCCTATATAAGTAATAAAAAACCAAATTTATTTTGCAATAAATTGCCTTCAGTGATTTTAAAAAAAGATGCTTATTAGCATATCAAAGTTACGTCGACTGAGAAGGACCAAAACCAATAATTGGAACGTCGTGATAATTATAATTAATAAAGATGATTGAATAAAGTTAGGTCGAATAAAAAATCTTTATTGTTAATAAATTTTATTCTTCGAAAAATATAATTTAATAATAACTACACGCGCGTACTTATTTAATATTTAATTTATAAATTTATTTGAAAATAAATCTCTTATCAATTTATAAAGAATTAAATATTTTCAATATTATATATGTGTATAATATAATACTTCTCCGTATTATATATAGGTACATGTATAAATATGTATATAAAAAATATATATATAACATATATCGCACATATATTTAATATTATATAAATATTTATATAAGATACATATTAAATAAATAATAAATATAAATAATATTATACATACATATAAATATACATTATAGCATCTCCACAATATATAATTGTGCATTAGTCGCATATTTTAATACAGTATTATATAATTAATAGTAATCTTAATAAAGTTAAGAAATATATTTTTTTTTTCATACAATCATCAGTATTGGAAATAGACTCTCTCTGAAATACGCGCATGCGCCAGCAGTCGAGCGTCCAGCACTCGCGCGGTTCGGCACATGTTTCACAACGTGCTTTACGCGGGGTGCTGGGTGTATGTTTATAAACGTTACAGTTTTACGCGTATTTTATTTTTCCGCGTGAAAGGAAAAAGTGATTTGTGGTAAACAGGCGCACCAATGACAATTCAAGACATGGACATCTGTTTAAATGTCACGGCGGGTCCAGCTGTCACAACGAGGAAGGTAGGTGCTTGGTTAGGTTAGATTTAGGTTAGGAGGATCTGTAAGCATGCCACATGTGTGCAAAGAACTTGCAACAATTTTATGCAATTGCGTATGGTAAACTGAACAAAAATCTAAGAAAAAGACTGATGAATAACGTAAAGTAATTGTTTGTGCTTAGAACACATTGAGAAGAACCGAGTCTTCCAATACCTCAATTAAAAGATTGAAGAATCAATCTTTCCATAAAGATGCAGTACTGAGTAGCAAGGGATCAAAGAGAAACGCGAATACGCAAGAGCCAGGGCGTAAGGGAAGAATTAAACAGAAGTCATTATCAGTTATCTTTGCTAAGAAGTTAAAAGAAGCAAACGCTTTTACTCAAAACATTCAGCAACCTCCAGTTCCATCTCAAGGTAAAGGCGCAACAGCGAAGATTGCAAAGTCAGAAAAAATTGAACAATCTGATGCAGCAAACAAGAAGCATGTGAAATTTGATAAGATTCCTTCAAAGATCCATTCAAACTCTGATTCCACAAATGAATCAACTGTCTCCTTCGCAAAGGCGACAAAAGATCATGTTGGTAAAGTACTGTTGGCGAGAAAGAGAGATGATTCAAAGGGTGAATCAAAGAAATCACTTTCTGATATATTTTCGAGTCAATTAAAGAATCAAAATAAGTCAGATACACTAAATTTGACTCAAAAACATTATATTCCTAAAAATAATTTTAAATCAGACAAAGAATTCACAGTAGTAGCTAAGGAATCACCAGTTGTAAAATCTAATAAGATTTCTTCTACCAAAAACTTAGATTCCACAATTGTGTATTTTACAAAGGCAAAAAAAGGGCATATTGATAAAATATTGGCGAAAAAGAAAAATAATTCAAAGAGTGAACTGAAGAAATCACTTTCCAATACATTTTTGAATCAACTAAAAAATCAAACTGAGTCAGATACTCTAAATTTAACTGAAAAACATGATACTCCGAAAGATAATTTTAAATCAGACAAGAAAAACAAAGTATTAACTCAGGAATCACCTATTTTAAAAAACACAAAGAAGACAGATATGTTAAACAAAAAGAAAGAGAGAAAACATAAAGAGAGAATTGTTAATAACGATAGGGAATCAGACAAAACTCCAAAATTAATGCACAGAGCTGGTGGAAAAATTTCCTCTTTGTTTGGCAATAATCCTGATATACCAACCATAGGCCAGCGATTTGTAAAACCTGTAAATGAACCAGTTTTTACAGAGATCACTTTCGCAGATCTCAATATTCATCCGTTTATGGTTAGTATTTGTATGTAGTTAACATTTATAATGAAAACGTTTGTAACAAAGTAACGATTTATACTCTTCTTACAGATATCAAATTTAGAGCAAAATATGGGCATAACTAAAATGACAACGGTTCAACAAAAAGCGATCCCTCAAATATTCTCAGCTAAGGATATTCTAATAAGATCTCAGACAGGATCTGGTAAAACGTTAGCGTATGCTTTACCAATTGTTGAAATGTTACACAAAATTAGACCAAAATTAAATAGAAACAGCGGTTTATCAGCCCTTGTGATTGTTCCGACGAGAGAATTGGCCTTGCAGACGTACGAGTGTTTTATAAAACTAGTTAAAGTGAGTTAGAGGCAAATATATTTTAAATACATTAGCACGAGCATTAGCATTCATTAGATGTCAAAATAACGTTTTAAATAATTTTAGCCTTTTACATGGATCGTACCAGGCTACATAGTTGGCGGAGAAAAAAGAAAAGCGGAAAAAGCTCGGTTACGAAAGGGATGTAATATATTAATATCTACTCCTGGTAGATTATTAGATCACATAAAGCATACAAAAGCTTTGAGATTAAATGACGTCAAATATTTTGTATTAGATGAAGCTGATAGAATGCTTGATATGGGATACGAAATGGACATTTCTGGGTAGGTTTTCTGGTTTTTTATTTAAAAAAAAAATTGGCAATTAAATTTTGTATATAGGTTAATGCAATTATTATTTAATATCTTAACAATAAGAAAATTAAATAATAACATGAACATAATTACAATGATTACAAAATTAATTGATAATATGTATTGTGCAATTCAGGATAGTAAGCGCTTTGAAAACATCATGTTCTAATAATGACGAATCAGGATACGACGCTATGAAAATATTTAAGCAAAATAGTAAAAAGACATTTACAGATGAAGAAATTGAAGAAATTTCGAAGGAACATGATATGAAATCCAAAACAGGAGAAAATAATATCGATGGTAGTAAAAAGAAACAAATATATCATTCAAGTGATGACAGTGATAGCGATCAGAGTGCTAATACCGTTCCATCGAGAAAAATGAAAAAGGATGAAAAACATTCCGGTGTGAATCAAGAATCTTATTCGAAAGTGGAAGATGCTGAAAACGTCGAGCGAGATTGTGAAAATCAATCGAAAAGGAAGACAATCTTATTGTCCGCGACTTTGACACAAGCCGTCGAGAAATTGGCGGGTCTCACGATGCACAATCCGATATTCGTTGACGCGGCTAAAGAGAATTTAGAAGCGAGCGAGGGCGATATTAGCGAGATTAACGAAGACCTAATAGTTCCGCAAAGTGTAATTCAGAATTACATAGTCACGCCGCCTAAATTAAGAATGGTCACTCTAAGCGCTTACATCGCCGGGAGATGTCAGGTAGGAAAATTTTCAAACTGCATTGTATAGCAATAATACATTGTGTCGACTTGCGACTTGTATAGTAGCATTTTCTTTTTTTTTTTCTTTAGACTCCTGGGCAACACAAAACACTAATTTTTATGGCCACACAAGACATGGTAGATTATCATACTGAAATTTTGTCCTCTGTCCTTACGAAACCAATTGATGACGACGACGAAGACTCCGATCCGCTGGTTGACGTAGAATTCTTTAAATTACATGGTAATATGACACAGAAAGAAAGGACGGAGGTCTTCAAAACTTTCAGTCAAGCGAAAAGTGGAGTACTACTGTGCACGGTAAGTTATATATATTCGAAAATTACTTTAAATGCTTCGAACGTCTATATACGAATATACCATGTACCTATTGTGGACATAATTAAGTTATCTTTAATCCTTCAGCGCATTATAAGTGTTTGAACTTCTTAACTTGTTTACTCTTAAATATACATTGCACGTCATGAGTTTTACTCGAGAGCAGATATACTTTGAAATATTAAATATTATATAAATAAAAAATATAAGTGTATAATACGGCGTTGAAAAATTAAGAGAGAATAGCAACGAAAGAAAAGTCAGGGATATCTGTCGGCACTCCCTATGCTGTAAATTACTTCGTGGCTTATTCTTTCGAGAGGGAATTTAATACCCCTCAGGACCCACGCTGTGTTCGGAGGTTAAAAATTATGCGGGCGCATGAACCCTTCGTAATGAGTATAATTACAATCATTTGTCTGTCCCCCATATCTGTGCTTTCTTTACTTCACGAAGTGATTTAGGGAAGTCCGAACTTTGCATTAACAATCCTTTTCTATTAACAATTACTAATCTTCTGCGAAACAAACTGCGCCGCTTTTCAATCAAATCTCCAATATTCTAATGGAAAGATATTTCTCATCCAAATCGTAATAAACGCGAAATGTTTACCTATTTGCGATATATCCACAGAAGTGTCTGTTTCGCTAATTGCATTCTGCGAGCGGCGTAATTAATCATGACGCGATAATGTTTGCGAAGTAACGGATAACTTTCTTTCTCCCCGCTCCCCGCCGCTAATTACATTCGTATTACGTCGGTCGAATTAATCCGACGTCGAATAACAGAACAACTTTCTGATTCGCATTGAACTCTCGGCGACGGCTTTAACTGCCGTAATTACCGGTGAAAGCGATCGATTTCGTCATTAGACGCAGGGACCGTCAAAAATAAAGCGACGGCGGATCTCATTTCTTCATCGACCAATTTAGATTTTAGCGTGAAATACTGTTATGGCGCTTACACGTGTCTCAAGTATCGCAAATATCGGAAGAACTCGTGCAAAAGGAAAGAAGAAAAATATTAAATCGCGGCAAGATTTGCGAATTGTGAACTTCACGATCGGCGTCACGCAAACGAATGACACAACTTATCGAAAAAATTAATTCTTTTCCGTCAGGCGATCTCTCTCTCTCTCTCTCTCTCTCTTTTTTTCTCTCTTTCTCGTAAAGTCGACGTCCGATTCGAAAATTCCGAAGACTCGCCGCGGGTTCTCGTTATCCTCTCTACTGTCCTCGTTAAGCCCTATACATTGCGATTAATTGACGACCTGTTCTTTCGAATTATGTCTCAAAAACCCGTGTCACGAGTCGCCCTCGAAAGAAGAACAACAAGATCAGAATCTGCAAAATTAATTCTGAATATAACGAACATTCGTTCGTCGGACTTTATAGCTTTCTTTTCTCACGATTTTATTTATTCTCGACTTTCGCATATGCCATAATTTCTCTGGCAAAACAAACTTTGTGTAAAGAAGTTACGGCATGAATATAATAATAATATTTGCTGCGATGAAATGAGGCAATTAATATGTAGAAAGATTAAAATTACGATCAAATATATTTTGCACTTCTTTAGAAGCATGAATGTATGATGCTTAAAAATTCACGTCATTTTACGACGATATAAATATTGATTAATGCGTATATAACATTTTGATGTTTATTATTCTAGTTTTTAAAAATTATGTTATAATATTATCTACTTTATTTACTTTTTACGTGATTTTTTCTAGTTGCATGTTATGCCAATGTAGATTAAACAATCTGCTCATAATTCTTTATTACAAAGAATGCTTATATATTTTATTTTTATATTTCATTGTTTGCTTATTAATTTCTCTCTCTCTCTCTCTCTCTCTCTCCTGCGAGATCTGTTTTAATATCAAAATTCTTGAAAGCTGAGTTTAATATCGTTAAATTTGCTTTGTTGATTTTAAATGCTTAATTGTCTAAAAAAGCAGGTGGATTTATCAAGATCATCAAGATACAGAAAATTCAAAATATAAAAAACACGTGAATAATTACGCTACTAAGAACATGCAACGCATTTACTCGTTATTATTAAACCGATAAATCCCGGTCGCGCGAACATATTGACGTGACGTCGCCAACGTTGTTGCGAGCACGAGAGGGGGAAGGAAGAAGGCGGAATAATTTACTGTGTACTTAGAGAGACGTCGGGCATATTTAACTCCTTAATGTTGATCCGCGGAATGTGCGATGGCAGAGCCGCCCACGTTTTACGGCGTCGCTACCACGTAGGTTTTACGGCCGCGTTATTAATTTCCACGTTGAAAAGCCACGAGGGCACCCGCGGCCGGAATGTTCCGCGGCTCTCAGCGGTGGTGGATCCGGATCCACGATGTGATCTATGGTCCGAGTGAGATGTTTTGAGCGGACGATCCGTTCTCGATCCCGCGGCCCGCGATCCCCCGGTCCCTTTCTTAAACGATCGTTTGTCTTAATCGCCGCCATCGATCGCTCTTCAGCGCGCCGCTCTCTTTACGTGTGTTGAAACCGGTGGCAGGTATCGTGCTTGTATCGTTTTAATGTGCCAAGTGCACTTGCTCCGATTGCGAGCGCCGCGCAAATGATTATAGGCTTGCGTTGAATTTTAAGGAAATATTCTTTGGCAAAGTTAACTCCGAGTGACAATTTAAATCGCGATGATATCACATTATAGTTAACGTTAAAAGCGTTTAATTTATTTTTCACTTTCTATATAATAAACATTCTATAATTCTATGTAATAAACACTATATTTGTCAAAGTTATGTAAGTTATTTGATATTTTCTTTAACTATGTTACTATGTTCAAGTTCCATGTTGCAAGCATTGACTTCTCCTTTTATCCAGTCGATCGTTTTGTTCTCATTAATATTCTTAATCGCGCAAAAAATAAATGATTAGAAATTGCTTTATCGATATTCATCGAGCGATAAGATGTAACGGAATCACGGGGCGAGCTCGAGTGATTCGGTCCGATCGACAGCATTTATTTCGATTTCGGTCGGGGGTTTCTCTCTCGTATTCCTTCACGCTGGCGCCCGGATCGCGCCGTCGTCGACGTATGTTGAATTAATAGCAGGAAAAGATGTAATAAGAATACACGGATACACGTCCGTATCGTGCCGCGAAAGAATTCCGGGGTGCCGCGACGCCCCCCCACTGGTGGTCTGGGATTAGTCCCCGGGGCCCGTCAAGCGGAGCGACCCGGCGGAGGCTCTCGCCGCGGTAAATCATCGGCCAGCCGAACGTAGGAAATCAGGGCCGTGCTCAAACGTTCGCCGTTGGGGTCTCGCAGCTGGGCGCCCGCTGCCAGCCGCGCGCATTCACGTCGCCACAAAACGAGAAATCGCCGCGGTTTGTAAGACATTTGTACCAGCAGGTCGCAGACTCGCCGTTGCCGCTCTTGTTCGTGGAACGAGCCACTTCTCGGAGGAGGTTGGAGCGCGATAACTACCAAGAACATTGTTCCGAACAAATTGCGGTGGAATCACGAGGTTCCGGTTCTTATCCGAATTGTTTTATATCAAAGTGCTTTGTATCTCGATCTATAGAAAAGATCCGAAGTCTTTTCTTTATATATCTCGCGTGACGTATATAATTTATGAATGGTCGTAATATGTCATTGGGATTAAACAGCGGATTTAGATGTAGACAGTCTTGTTCTTATATTCTTATGTTCAACAAGATTTGGAAGATGTTTGACGTGAAAATTGCCGGTTCTAGGGTATGTAAGATATATATTTCTCTTTTTTTTTCCCAGGATGTCGCAGCTCGAGGATTAGACATGCCGAAGGTAGATTGCGTTGTTCAGTATACCGGTCCAATTTCGGCTAGAGATTACGTTCATCGAATCGGTAGAACCGCACGCGCAGGTTGCTCCGGCACGGCGACAATCTTCCTGACGCCTCCGGAAATCGAGTTCGTGCGGATGCTCGAGTCGAGGCGCATCAGAATCAAGCAGCAGGACATGAACGATGTCCTGGGCAAGCTACTGGGGCCCTTTTCCAAGCATAACTCCGTGCAGGCAGCGGCTGTCGCCCTTCAAAATGATTTCGAAGATTTAGTGTTGGAGAATCAGCAACTTGGCGCGAAAGCGTGTAAAGGTAAGCGTGTAATATTTTACGATTCGCGCTACGTAATAAAACGTATATACACTTCTTTTGATATCATAAACTTGTTAATCATTATCAAGACTCTTGAAGGATATAATATTTATGAATTTGACACTAATATAGACTGAAGTTCAATGATTCGATAATGAGGCAAACTATCGTATAGTAAATTGCTGCTATAGAAATAGTTACCTTCAAATAGTGTCTTCCTAGTTATTAGCATATATATTCGCGTGTATACTTTAAGAGGTGCGCGTGCAATAAAAGCTTAAATCTTTGCTTTCGTGAGAGGCAAAGTGTTGATGAGGAGCTGCGAAGGATGAGTGAACATCTACTTTGACGCAGTTGGATTGTAACGAAAGCGAGCTGACTTTCAGGGTAGACTAAGCCAATTCCAGCGAGCACCCCACTCGCATATAAAGCAACCCCTACGCGTACACGTTATGGGGCTCTTATTCCGTCTCCCTTCACATTTGCCTCGTTCGCCACTTGGATATTTACATAGTCTACGGACGAGGAGGGATGATCCTGTTTGCTATGCCACGGTTACTCTATTAGGGTCGTTACCGAGAAGAATTTATTTGCTGCAATAATAAATCCATTATACCCGGTCTAATACTCGTCAAGTGAAGACATTAGCCCTCTTCACATTCACGATGACTTTTTTTCCCCCCACAAATCTATTTGCTTTTCCATATAAATATCGTCAGTTAACTTGTTGCTTTCTTAAATCACTTCTTGATTACTTTATTCAAGGCTAGAGAGAACTTTGTCGCTTAAATACGAGTATGTACTTCTAAATTTTTTTCTTATTAAACTTGAGAAGCTTCAGAGAGATCTCTGCTCTATTGAGACGTAATAATAGCAATGTAAACGAATCTTGCATATCTTACGAGGATTACTTTTACGGAAGTGCATTAACCACTAGTGTTACGTCGATTGCTATAACCGCGCGAACGAGCATTTCCAAAAAGGAAATTCGGGACCATTAATCTTTCTAAGAGGTTTTCGAGCTTCGAAATTGTCCCGCATCAGCCGAGGCTTTACACGAAGGTTAGCCACGGTTTTTGAGCGCTTAGCCGCCCCAGATTTGAGTGACGTTACACAGCTAACCACTTGACCGTTCCTCCGCACGTACCGAGTGATTGATAGATTAATTGCTGCCGCCGTTCGTGACCCCGGTATTGCACTTTTCGCATGGAAACCGAGGGAGCGAATGAGAGGAAAGCAGGAAGTGGATAACAAATTAGTTAACATCTCTCGATATATCTACCGGGACTATTTGCTATCAGTCATTTATTTGTTCCAATGTGTGCCCATATCGACAAAAATAATTCAAAATGTTTGGAAAAATTTCTCGCGACAGAGAGAAATATGGTAAAACAATATTTTTATTACGAAATATTTTCATCTACCTCAAGAATAATAACACATAAGTTGTGTTTTCTGAAATTGATTAAATAATTGTCCAAGGATAATTTTTTCACGTAAATAAAAATTATTTTCAAGTATTCCAATATTCTTTGTTATTTGCATTTTTATTGCAATTTTATGTAATCGTGCATCTGATATCAGCTTATTTTACATTTTTCACATTTAAGCTGGAAAAAATTAGCCGTACTTAAATCCGTGATAACGTCGTATATCGAACACATAATACAAGGTATAGTGTTGGAATTAAGATCGTAAAAACGCTCGTACACAGCAGAGGCACAACAATGGAAAATAACGCGGCACGTGGACACGTTCTGCGCTCTTCGCGACAATTCCGAAATTTATTTAATTCGCGACTGATGCGGAGACGAGCGGAGAAGTGGAAATCTCGCTAATTCGTAACATTATCACCCCAATAGAGCCGAACAGCCTTCAATAGCAAGTACAGCTCTATAGAACTACCCCCGAGCTGCGACCCTCGCCACTAACCTGAGGGATTCATCCCTCACTCCTATCCCATATATATACGATTTGAGCCTCGTGTCGGTCGCTCGGCTATATTCCATTCGTCATAATTCTCTGTAAATATTTTTTGAATATTATAGCTTAGCAGAAGCAGCACAACAAGCAATAATCGGGCCACTTAATCTTATGCAACCTATTTCGTTCGATCAAATAATTTATTTGCTTTAGACTTATCAAGATAACGATACATAAATTGATATAATAAACCATATTCGAGATTTAGGATGGTTATGAATTTGCCTATACTTTATATTTTTTTATCGGGTTATAGTCGAGTTTTCCAGACAGCACTTGTTTAAAAAAAAAAGCAATATTTTGCTAATTATTGTCGTGACAATCGTATCACTGTTGAGCTAATCTTGCGCACTCGTCGCGAGTTAGATTGAATTCGGTGTACATCGTTCGCGCGCCTTTCACAGAGGGTGGCCGATACAATCCAACCACTGAATGTGACTTCCGCCAAAACCACTTACGCTTTGTGGCGAGAGACTCTTAACAATACGATACAGGATACAAATACAATAAGACGCAGTTACATCACTTAGGAACAATGCTACCCCACTCTTACACCCCCGTTCTTCCCGCCGCTCCGGCTTCTCAGTTAGACACCGCCCCCACGTGTGATTTATGTGCTAAATGGAGAAAAACATTTCTCCCTTTTCAACGCTGACACCAAGTCACAAGAAAGACTCTGGCAGTGTTTCTTATATATGCGCGGAAAGGAGGAGCTGAGATTGGAAGCAGACGGAAATCAGGACGGAAAACGTTGAGACATACATAACTCCGACCGCGAGAGAATTATGAAAATTAGAGGTACTTAGAGGGGATTCAAGCGAAACGTGTAACTAAATCTATTCGGTGATATATAAATTCATTATTTCGTTTCAAGAGAAATAGATGCCGCATTTAGATACAAGAATACAATAGCATTCAAACACCACCATCCAAACTGCATTTAGTTTATTTGAGAAAGTTTATTAATAATTGAAGAAGAGATGTTTCTTCTTGTTTCGTACCTTGTTCCATTATAATCATTGACTTAATGTCATCATCTTACGCGAAACGTCTTCGCTGCTATATAGAATATAGAAATTTAAGCGATCAGGGATATCCGGAATGAGCAACCGGAAGCCAAATTCATCTACTCTATCAGGACCGATTGTGAGAGATTTTTCACACGGAACGCACGCCAACGGTGCATGTGCACATGTCGAGTTCTCTCAGGACCAGAGATCCCCCGGGTTTCTCACCCGTGCGCACAAGCAAGAGACGTTAAGAAGGGACGCGAGGGTGACTATTAGCTGCAGCACTTGACTCGGCTACCTCCTCCTCACCGTTAATGCCCCTTAATAGCCCGCCACGGGGCGCGCACACACCCCACGGAATCGCGCGGCCCAACCCCCGTGGAACCACCTAATGGAACTGCGATTAATAAGGGCGCACTACATGTAACTGATCATTACATCCGAGAGTTGCACGTGACCTCTTAAACGTAGACGAGATAAGTGTACTCGACGCGGCACCTCTCGAGTTTATTCACATTTTAGGCTTATTCGTCTTGAGAGACTACATGAATTTAGTATTTTGCTATTAATTGCAACGTATGCATAACGGTTCATTATGACAGTACCAAAAGTCACGATTAATTTGAAACAAAATACATATTTATTCCTCCAAGCACAATTATCGCACATCACGTGGATAATTACGCTGGTACATTTTTTTTTATCGTACTTAACGTGTCTGCAAGTGATCTGATTGCGCATATCTGCAATGGGAACAACGAGCGGGTGGAAAGATAATTGTTTTATTTTACATAAGAATCGTATTCTCTTCTGTAGCCTACGTCTCCTGGATGCGTTTCTATTCAAGTTATCCGCGCGACATGCGCGAGATATTTAATCGAAAGGATCTTCATTTGGGTCACTATGCCAAGAGTTTCGCGTTGAGGGATCCGCCGCAACGAATCGGCGGGATTGGCAAGAAGCTACACGAGAAAGAAATCTCGAGACCTAGGCACAATAATCGTCTGTCGAACAAACCGTAAGTATAATATTTCCTTTTCTTTCTAATTTGCAAGGTGTGAATGTATTTCGCCCGAATTAATCTTACGCGCGAGTATATCGCGAAAATCACTATCGTTCTTAAAGTCCCATTTGTTCCTATCGAGACGTCGCGTATAGCGGAACTTCGGAAGCGCACACTTTGCGTCACGCACAGTTGCGGTGGACAATATGCTCCCATTTTGGGAGAGGACATCACGAATGGTTGGTCCGGCTGTTGACCCGCTCAGCTGACGTTTCAGCCGCGCGATCGCGAAGCCCATCGTCTCCGGAGTGACGGTATTAATGACGGATTCACGCGTGGCTTGGCGTGTTAACCGCGACGCACATCCCTGGCCCTCCTCCTCTTCGCCGTCCACCCCCCCGCGCGCGCGCGCGCGCGTACAGGCGTAGCCGGCATAGGGCGAGCAATGGCACGCACACGCCATGTGCGGGATGGCTCGGTGCGGCTCCTAGAGAGGTTGAACGCATCAAAACTGTCGCTCTGTGTCATCCGTCATGTACGACGAACGGGCGGACGTGTTCTACGGTGGCTGGCAGCCATAAGCCATACGGCTCTCATCGTGTTCAGCCTCGTTGTGGTCCCCGTTCTCCCCCCCGAGTTGCGTTCTCTTCATTTCACTCCATCTAACTCGCGTCGTCTCGCTCGCTCGCGACAAGTGTATCTTATTCCTTCTCTCGTTGCTCTGGCCTTCCTCTCTCGCTCACGTTCTATCTTCATGCGGTGTGCATTTCACATGGCACTCTGCTGGCTTCTGCCCTTCTCCAGGCTTCTCTCTGTCTCTCTGTCTCTCCTTCTCTCTCTCTCTCTCTATCTCTCCATTGTTCATAATTATACAATACGGCTATTAAACAGACTGATGCGACCGCCACTTCCGGTCGTGGCTGCGCCATTTACGGAAACCACGGGACGAGCACGAGCCTCCCTCTCTTTGCCCCCGTCGCTCCGTCTCGCTCGCGTTCTCGAAATCCTGAAACTGTCACCTACCCACCCGCTCGCATACTTCTTCCCCGCTCGCGTGTGCCCTCTTGCGTGTCCTGATTTTTTTGACACGAGCGCTTCCCGCCTTCCATTCATGCATTATTCTCCATTATTCTGCTTTTAATTTCAGTGAACATAATTTCTAATGCTGCATATAAACATGAAATGATATATCTTACTACAGGTTTCCTATTTTCATTTTAAATCTGAATTTGTTTTCCCGGAGTTACCCCGGTTATGAATATCCTAGTCTTATCATAGCTAACGTATTTTACATCTGTTGCTTGTCACGTCTCCGGCTTATACACGTATATACATACACATACACTTAGTCCGTTGCTCTTTCTTTTCACGGCCGCAAACGAGCCAAGTCCAACCACCACGGGCGCTATACTTCGTAATTTCTACGCCAACGTTCCTTCTACTTCATGTATCACGTCGTCTACATCACACACGAGTACCTCCCGCGTTTTTACCGAGCTTTATAATTCCTATGTTCTCCGGCGATCATTTGCCTGCACTGCCATATTCAGCGTTCTCCGTCTCTGTCTTTCTCTTTCCTTCTACGACCACACAGTCTCCTCTATCAGCCCTTTTTTTTTCGCGTTAAGCGCGGCGAATCTTTTTCCCCGAGACCGGCATTACGCATTAACGTGTTTAATGCGATTTGAATGGGCGTGCTTTGGGTGAGCACGACGGGCAACCGACTGGTGCCCTCCGCACGGGGAGAGAACGAGTCAGTTTTAATGGGTGAAAGGCGGGCACTGAGCTGACGGTCCAATGGATCGAGAGACGACCACGGTATACGCCTCTGTGGGTGCGATTACCTATACGTTTGTGTGCGTATCTTAGCCCAAGTGCGTTTGTGAATGTATGCATGCGTGTGTGCTTGACGCGGTTTCACGTCCTCCTTGCAGTCTACTGCAGGACCGTTGTATAAGACCGACGATAATTTTCATAGTTTCGATACTTTGCAACTGGAACGATCAATACCATTCTACAGCTTAAGGATTTAAAATGTAGCCAATATTTTCTATTTATATTTTCTTTCTATTTCCAATTTACAGAACTTACCTTCTGGAAACCACTTTACTTAAATTAGTAAATAAATTGCGTATAAATTAGATATACGTATACATATTTAATATACACATATATATTTTTTTTATTGGATAGAACAACGATACAATGCGAATTTTGGACGATAATTATGTTATTTTATGTATAATTCCATTGTAGTTAAAAACTATCGTGTCGATTACTACTGCAAAGTTAATTGCGAAACTTATATGTAAATTATCTCGGTTAAACGGGAGCTGCCATTGTAGACCATAAAGCATGATAACGCGTACTTCGTGCGTGACGCGAAGCGGTGGACAAAAACGTGGTAGCGGACATGAAATTTGGTACGGCAGTTGGTGGAGGCCCACCTCCGTTTCGTCCGCGGGGTGTATCGTCGCGTTTTGATGCGCGCGCGCGCGTCCTCTTTTTTCTTTTTCCTTTTTTTTTGCCTCAATTTCCGATTACCGCGCTCTGTCCTCACCACATGTCGTTTACGTCGAATTATCGAAAATTGCGGGTTAGTCCTAATGTGAGAATTAAAGTGCGCGCCGGCTGACTGCTCTCGCTTCCAGATCTGAAGGGGTGTCGCAAAAGAAGCAGAGGACCCGAGACGGCGACGGGCAAAGAACGGGATTATTGAAGAGGGTTAGAATGCTCAACACCTCCGAATACGATAGCGGCCTCGAACCCCCGAAGAAGCCAAAGAAGTAATTCCTCGTGCTTCGTCGCAATTGTATGTACATTGGCTCGATTGTATACATGTTGTAAATAGAAACAGCGATTTCGTGTCGGTGCATCGCTTCTTGTGAACATGCGCCCACATGTTTTTACCCTTGATATGTTTTACAATAAATGTTAATTAAATGTTTTAACCTAATTTACACTTGTTTATCCTTTATCTTTCCAAATACTCGATAGTTATCTTTTTAGTGTTACGGAAAGATGTACATCTTATCGCAATTTTCTTGCGTCGACTGTGACGATTAAATATGTATTTACCATTTTTACTATTTTGAATATTCTGTGGGATCATGTTTTATTAACTAGCAGAGATTATGATTGAATCCTGATACACAAAGCAGCATAATGAGCAAGATATAATTTTATAATGTATTTACATTTTACAAATGTTACAATTACTTAATAACGATTGAATTTTTATTTCACGTCAACTACAGTTTCTATTTTTATTACTGTGCGTTTCTGATGTCATTTAACATCGTTCTCCACTTTATTTTTTGCAATGGTTACTAATTGGTGGCAAATACGCTGCGGCAAAATGCAGTACGACGGAAAATGCCGGGTTTAGGGAAATTAACTGTAATGATATCGCGCTAATCGCACGGTACGGGCTACGTCGAATACGCTTTCGCGGTCACGAGATCGCGCAACGTTTTAACTCCCTTTTCGCTGCCCCGGCTCCGCTTATCTCATTCTTTTCACAATAATTAGCAATCACCTTCTGATAGTACGTACTTACAAAACCGCCATTTCGCCGGCGTCATAACGATATCACGCTAATTGCGCTTTCGTTTCCACTCCAGCATACCGTCCACGCAGTCACGAGATTGTGACTCGCACTATTCTTAGGATCGAACTCAACGGCCATTAAGAACACAAGTATTTTATACCTCGCAATTAGATATCGCTCCTTACCTTCTATCGAAATATATTACTTATATTTCATTCAACAGTGTAACATTAGCTATTATTTTAATTATTTTAAATGTATCTCAGGAATATTTATTCGTTTCTTGTTATTCGACATATAGCTCAGAATTTCTTAACTTTTCAATTGAAACTTAATGTTTCAATAAGCACATTTTGCAGACGTCAAATTCAAGTGCCTCTCCTACTCTTATATTAATGTAGATATATAAATATTAAACGCTTACATTAAATTTGATCCTAGTGCACTTTAGTGGGGTCGGTATAAAACCGACTGCTAGCGGTAACGTTGGAAAGCTTACACTGCATACATCGCATCGTGTGTACCTACGTACATGTGTATCGCGATGGAATTAGGAGTTTCGTCGCCGAGGCTAATTTGCCAAAGGGTGCTAAAGAGCTAACGCGTCCTGCGGTGCTTCTTTCCCGGCTTCCTCGGACTCGATTTCAGGCAGCGCGAGGGCGCCTGAGAGAGAGAGACACACACACACAAACACATGTACTACAAAGGATCTCGGCACGTGATTGCACAGCTATGCGCCGGCAACGAACGGGAACGCATTTTTGCGGCGGAGAGGAGAGGGAAGGGGGTAGCATCGGACACGAGGCACGTCGACGAGGGGGCCCCGTCGGAAGAAGACCCCTCGCGGAGGAAGAGAGCGGCGAGGAGACGTCACGAGGACGATGAAAGAGGGACGCGCGGGCACGCGGCGGGTATGATTAATACGCGAGCATTATTTTCGGATTTTTTGCCGCGCGATCCGCGAGCGCAAATTGCTTGCAAATAAAGGCGGCGTCGGGCGACTATCGCCGCCGGTAGGACGGCAGCGGCGGCGGCGGCAGCGGCGGCGAGAACGACGGAAAGGAAGTCACGGAAGGAGGCCGAGAGAGGAGAGCTCGTCCCGGGTTTAATTTAATTTAATTATGCCCTCTTTCTTCGCTACCAGCGCGCCCGAAGATAGATGGCGGCCACGGAATCTCGCACGTCTCGTCTCGGCACGTTGCGCCGCCCCGTGCGAGCGTAACCGCGATTTCCGCGACATAATTCGATCTCCATCTAAAAATTACGCGAATCTCAAATTAACCGCGAATTCTTTGGGCTTTTCCTTTTGTTTCGTGTAAATTCCACAGATCGAGAAGGGAGGTTGCGTTCCTCCAGAAACGTTTACTTTTGAGAGAAATGTAATTTGACAAATTGTAATTAATATTTGTTATTTTTTCATCTATTTACATAAAACTTTTTACCACTTCCGATCGATATTATAAATATTTTATAACGGTGGGACCCCCTTCGATGGGTCCGAAATAAATTTTGTTTTAAGCAAGAAGAGCAACGCATTTTCCATTCAACGTGCTTTGTTAAGAAACGCTATTTGATTCTCCTTGTTGCATAACGCGTCCGATTCACGTTTCGCCACATTCGCGACGGCGGCACGCGATTTAATTCAATCGCACGAGGTTTCCGCGTTGACGGATACGTTTTCGAGCACCGCCTAGAGCGCGTTGTTACGCGGTTTGGCGCTTAAACGCCGCGCGAATTAAGGCGGACGCGTGATTGATCGCGGTGATAAATCGATCGTCTTGGGCAACATCACGCCGACATATGTTTATCGCGCGATCTGATGAAAAGCCGCGCGTTCGCAATTTAATTTAATCGCGCGCGTTATTTCGCGCCGACCGCCGCCGCCGCCGCCGCGTGCGCACACATTTTCGAAACCCACCCAAGTGGCCATCTGCGAGCGGCCGCATTAGACGCGCGAGCGGAGCAAAGAGTGCGATATTTATTCGTAATGCGCATCGCAATTCGTCGTGCCGCGGCATCAGTCATAGTCATCGCGAGCGAGCGTGCGCGCACTCATAATGAACCGTACGATTAGGATATCCCGTTCATTCGTTCGTCCGTCCGTTCGTTCGGCGAGCGCGTTCCAGGGGAGTAAACGCGACTCGTGGAGACCGAATAAAAAGATGTCTCACGGAAACAGGGGCGGATTTATATGCGAACCAATAAAATCGCCAGCTATCGAAAGCCTTCACCGAATAATTCCATTCGGAAGCATTTATCAATCTATTAAAGAATAGGATAAGATTTATTTTGAAATAGTGACTCTTTAAGTATACAATGTTCTCAAAGTTTCTGAAAATAAATATAACGTTTTGATTGCATTTTTAAACAGAAAAACGAGTTACATTTATAAGAAAATGTTTTACAGAGATATAGAGATAAGTAGTGACAACTATAAAATATCTCTTATACAAATAAATAGATATACAAGGCAAAAATTCGTATGAGAGACAAAATAATTCAAGTTAAACGTAAGCGCGTTATCTTGATGCTATACAGAAGAATATGGATGTATTCTGTATTACTAAAGTGTGTAAAAAATCTTACATAATGGATACACACTTTAGAAAATTCTTCACGGATGAAATCAAGATACTTCTAATTTCTCCTTCACACGTATATCATATATACGCAATTAAACTCCAAAGGTCAGCTTCAGGCTCCCCCCGACCTTCATTATCCGTCCCTGTACGGAAAGAGGATAATCCTCATTACCGCGAGATATGCGCAGCTTGAGTCCGATTAACGCGACGAGAAAAAGGAGGGCCGTAGGGACCCGGGCAAGAAAGGGCCCCACCGCGGGGACCGACTCTAACCGCCCTACGCCCGCGTCGACGACCGCTTCTTACGCGTGAAACACCCGCGGTGACGCGCCGTGCGCGCGCGTACGCACGCACGCACGCACACGACTCTTTCTAATACGGGGCACAAAAAGGTAAGCACTTATAAGAGGCGTCGATTATTCCACGTGATTACCGATTTCCGACCAGTTAACGACTTTTTCGAGTCGCTTACACCATCGCGCCCGGGCGCTTATTACTAGTCATTACCGCACGTATCCCGCTTATTGCCTTCGAATTTCACGTCTCGAATCGACATCGATCCCTCGCCCGTGTATTCGTTCCAAATCAAGATCGAAACGAGGCCCGTAATGAATATTCGACGAATAGGTACCTTGGCATTCTTTATCTTCGCGTCGTCGCATAATTGTTTTGCAACGTTTTATTAACGTGATTGGAGTTCTTAAGTTCTTACCTCGTCAGCCGAGTTTCTAAATTTCCTTAATCGCTGGCACAATGAAAAATATTCGGTAATTGGATGGATTCTAGTTTTCTTCTTTTTTTTTTGTCGAGAGAAATGATTGCCATAAATCTTGCGGCATACTTATGATGCTTTAAGGGAAAAAAAAGCAGAAGAAAAGCTGAGTCATGCATTTGTTTTAATCGCACTGCTTTTCTATGAAATCAACGTTTTATCCGCAGATATGTTTGTGCCGTATAACGTATTTACTCAGACAAAAGATATTACAAACGTTACGGATGTTAAAACAACATACAGCTTGCGTGACCACGTTGCTTCTTGAGCATTCCAAGGTGTAAAGTCTTCATCGTTTTCCGATTTCACGCTCAGAATTAACGGCAATTTATTACGAAAATTGCCCACCACGGCTTGTCGAGCCTCTCACTTTTTCTCATCTAGAAGCACTTTTTTGATAACTCCTGGCAATTTCTAAAAGACCGAATTAACTTGCATTACCAGTACGAAAATAATTGGCACAACAATTATTCACCTCGCTTCAAACATTTTTTTCAGATCGGCGCATTTTATGTTCAAATTAATTTATAATTTACATCGAATTGGAGATCCAGAAACAAAAATTCGTTCTCGTGAGCACTCTTTCGCGCTTTATGACAGTCATTAAATCTTTTCTTATACGCTAAGCACGGTGTGGATTAAATTTCCCTAACACGATCGCGTCGCAATTCTTCGTTCTCGATTTTCGCAACCGGCATAATAAGGGCACGAGAGAGAAGGAGAAACTTCTGTCGTGGCGGCAGGAAGACGGAGCAACCGTTTCCGCGAAGTCGACGAGTGAAATCCGTTCGAGGACGCGTTAGAATCGGCGCGATTAGCATTTTACGGGCCGCGCATATCCCGTGGAAACGTTTTATTGGCGTGTCGTGCGAAGGAGCCATAGCCTTGCGCCGCGCCGCCGCCGGCAGCGACGATGGTTGCAGGTTGCTTGCAACCTGCACTCTTCCCTCGTTATTTTCTCATGTATACGGTCTGCATATTGCAACGCGATTCCGCGCTCTCCGCTACCG